AGGTGCAGAGAACAGACTCTATGATTCCTCTGTAGAACTGTATCAGCAGCTCCTGGGGTAGGTCAAACTTCCTGAGCTGGCGCAGGAAGTACATCCTCTGCTGTGTCTTCTTGGTGATGGTCCTGATGTTGGACGTCCACTTCAGGTCCTGGGAGATATTGAAGCCCAGGAACTTGTAGGACTTTACTGCTGGTGAGTGGGGGCAAGGTGGGGGTGGGGGGGCTCTTCCTAAAGTCCACTGTCATCTCCACTGTTTTGAGCGTGTTCAGCTCCAGGTTGTTGCGACTACAGCACAGGACCAGCTGCTCAACCTCCAGTCTGTAGGCTGACTGACTTTCCAGACTGTTAACTAGTTACATTTCCATAGCAATAAAATTGGACAAGCCTCAGATCAACATCTGACACTGAAACCTTGACAGTAACATGAAAAGAAAGCAATTGATAAAAGCTGAAAGAAGCACGATCAGATTGCAGGTTGCAGGCTCCTTTTCCTCCTACACTTTCATCAGCTTTCTCAGAAGCACCACAGTGGTCTGCTGCTGACCTCTGAGGGACTGACTGCAGTGCAGTGCAGTGAGCATGGACACTTTAAAGCTAAAAGGGGAAAGATCATTCATACTCAAACCTCTCCAGCTAAAGAAAGGACAAAGTAAAAAGAGAATATATGTGAATGTCTAAAAAAGGGGTGAATACATGGAACAAACCTGAAGATACATTAAAAACAGACATAGGTTCAAGAAAATGTTTAAAAACTGTGTATTGAATGAGCATAAGAACTTCGTGTAATGTGTCCTTGTGCTTAGGGGTATTACATAAAACAGTTTGGTTTGCTTCCTTGTTGTTTAGAACATGTGTCTGTGCTTATAAGTTAATTTAGTGTGATTATGAGGCGGTAAATATAATGACTGGTTAGAAAGGGGGCCCTGACTTCAGCTCACCCCTTTTCGTATGTTAAATATTAGGTTAGAGCACTGATTATCTGCTGTTTAAAGAGGAATTAATGAATATAACATGAATGTTCCAATTTTTTATGGATTGAAATAAAGAAGATGTGTCAAAATGTATTTTGCACAAGTACTGAGAAATGCCAATCTATACTCAGCCTTACAAGGAGCAGGAGGTGATTATAGAGCTTATCCAAATAAGCCCATTAGGCCAGTGACTGTAGCTTCTCTTGTAACCTAAATATCACAAGTTGTGGTATCTGATGAGGCTTGTCAAACACAAGAACAATGGCACATTTAAAATTCTCACTGTGGTGATTTTAAAGACGTAAAGGGTGCACACATAGACTGTCCATCTTTAATTCATGCGCATGTACATTAGGTACTGGACTTGTTCATTTTGGTGTGTGGATAAGAAGCACAACACTGGAAAGCAGCCAAGAGGTGCCCATTTACAGTGAATAGGCCTGTTCCCATACAACTATAACACGTGGTAACCTTACTTAAATATAATATCAAACAGGACACCCTTTACTTACTTCAATTATCCATGGAGTGAACCAGTGAGCTGTTCCATGCTCGCTCTCAGGCAACGTGTTGAACACAGACATGACCAAGTGTGCAGCACAACTGGAGGCTAAACTGAACTGGATAAAATGCTCCTGCAAACACAAACCGCCTCAGAACGCCACCTAAGTTACAGTCCATCTCCACGCAGAGTAGTCCACAATCCAATGTGATCCAGTCCGTCCGGTAATACCTCGCGTGGTACCTGTTTGGACTCCTTGATACGCTTTGTCCCTAATTGAAGCGCAGCAAACCTGCGAATATGAAGAGTCTCCATGAAGTGTCACCTTCGTTTGACGCTGTTGTGGTCAGTGTAACATAACATTTCCACGCTCCAGACCTATTCTCCGCTCGAACATTGCAACGTTAGACGACGTGCAGGATAATATTGGGCACAATCTAACCTCGTCTCACACCGACCTGTAAGAAGATCCGCTTCTTCTCTCTGATTGGCTGTCAGTGACGTCAGTCACAAAACCCTTTCGATGTGGAGCGTCACGGACGTAAATGTCGGCACGTTACCGGACCGCCCCCACCGACAAAACACCGTGTAGCCTTATACCTTTTATAAATATCCTTTGCAACAATAAACTAGAAACTCTAGAGCATCTGTTTTTTCAATGTGCACATGTGAGAGTATTTTGGACTGACTTTTGTTTTGATCCAAAAAATTATCTTGGTAAGGAAATAATAAAGAACATGACATATTATTAATGTCTGACAAGCCCCGTTTCTCTAGCAATGAAAGATTTATCAGTAATCTGTTCATTATTTTGGACAAATTCTTCATCCATAAAATGAAATTTCTGAAAAAATCACCGTCCTTCTCAACTTTTAAGAAAAACCAAACTTTTTATACATATGTTGTATTCACTTTCTAGCTTTCTGAAATGTTTTCCTTTGCCTCAAACTTGGGTTCCTGAATTTTTCTTTTTTGTTGTTGTTGTGAATGAGATTACTATGACACAGAAAATTAAATCCATATTTGTCATGTGTTTTTCAATTCATTTAGTTTAGGTCAAATCTCATGAAACACACAAATGACTGACTATAAAAGTCATAGTGTGGCATTTGTGCTACTTGCTCATTTGAGTTCAGATTTTTACCACTTTGGTGCACATTAGAAACTCTCAGTCTTCACACTGTTGATGTCTTCAAATTTGCCCTTGGTACAAGAACAACGGGGGAAAGGTTAAGCATACTATAAAGCAATTTACACCCAGTCAGTGGTTAAATATAACATATAAAAAATACTCCTTATACACCTTGGTATGAAAGGGTGTGTGTCTATGTGCCAGTTCACTCATATTGACAGGCTGGCATCACAGTGTTGTATATTTCACATCTGCTTTAAAGTACGACAAGCTTTTAGTAAATTGTGTTGAACAATGCTGCCATCTGCCGCTGTTGATGAGAGGCCTTCGGTGTTACATCAAATCTGAGCCCAGTATTTAATTAACATTAACAGTTTGGAGTAACAATAAGGTACTTTCAGTGAAGAACAGTCACAGACTGCAAACTGCCTTTTCATTTGAAGCTTTTATTACTCTTTTATTGAGGTCAACCATGATGCAACAGCTGATTCATATAGTGTCTGCCCTGTGAAATGGACCTGAATTTTTTTTGGCATGTGTGGTATGCAAACCCAATTCAATACGTGCACTAGATGGCAGTGCATGCCTTGGTTCCACCAGTTTCAGAGAGGGAGGAAAACCTCATGCTATGGTTTTGTGTACCAGGAAATTTTGTTGGAAAGTGGAAAATACATTTTGACATTTAATGGCATTTTGTCATAAACTTCCACATTTTAATATGGAAAAATATTTTGCCATGAAATTATGTCTGATTATGAGGCCCAAACAGAATCTGCACCCACAGAATTATGATGACACCACTACAAATGTTCTGCAGATTTTGAAAAGAAACTAGAAACTTAGAACACAAGCATGTGTTTGCCCCCTCCTGCATGTGTGCAACAGTTGTGTGATGTTGTGAATGCTTTTTGTCATTTTCATTTTCCAAGCCAAGGATCTGACATTCACATCCACTTCACACCTTGACTGGCTCTGTCTCTGTCCAGGGCTTCTTTTTCATCCCTTACGCAACAATCTGTGACACTTCTCATGTCAACCTTTAGAGCTGTTCTCCTCAGTAGCCCATGTAAATAAGGTTAATTTCCCCCCTGCTGGGCCTGCTGATTATGATATATTTACCACTAACATCTGAAGAATTGTTTCAAACTCTTCTTTAAAGATAAAAACCTCCAAAAGGCACATAACAAGGAGACGAGAATACTTTTGAGGTATGTGTTTGACCGCCCAGTAACTGACCCAGTACTCTAGGGTGGTTGATGTGAAGAACACCACTGACAAAAGCATTTTTAGTTTATGTTATAATGTACATCATGAGAAGAAACTTAGGGCCATTTATGACTGAGCCCATTTGGGAAGGGAGAGACACCAGCTCAATTCAAAAGTAGCTACAGGCACAAACAATGCTTTGCCAAAGCAAAAATTACAGCTTGATAAAAGAGCATTCTCCTGTCAGACTTGTGGAAGGTGGAATAAATGACTTGGCACTGCTTGAGAGGTAAAAATGTTTTGAAAAGTATCTTATGTAAGGTGATGTGAAACTATAACAATATGCAGTCAGTAATAATGTCTTTTGATTGGAGGATGAACAGTGGTTTCCCTGATGGATTAGGGGTTTCACAGTAACTGTTGTACTCCGTTGTTGTAATCATTCTAATGCATAATGTATGAGTTGGTTCTATAAGGTCATTTTTCCTGATGGATGAAGGATTTCATTGTTGTCATTATGTTTTAATGTTATTCTGTGTGCTGCATAATGTATGGGGATAACTGTGGGGTTAGATAGATAGATAGATAGATAGATAGATAGATAGATAGATAGATAGATAGATAGATAGATAAGGCACTACATGTGAAGGGTTATGACGCACGCAGCCTGACCGTGTGGTGGCGCTCTTGCCGTGTGGTGCTGTGACTCCAGCGGTTGCAGGCAGGTACGGTCTGGCTACTTAACCGCGGGCGGCTGGATTCATTCCGCTCTGAAACTGGCTGCAGAACACATGACATCTCCAGTAATGCGAAAGCAGCTTGTTAAACTCCAGAAGGGCGCTGTGTGATCTTACGGACCCTCTTCAAACCACCGCCTCACCATCACGACTTTTCACCTGATGACAGTTTCTCTGGGGATTGTGCCAGGTGTGTCTTTCCCTTTCTGCATTTCACATCGCTTGCACTGAAAGTTTGTAGTTGTTGTTTTTTTCAAAGTGGAGATGAATAACACCGGATTCAACGAAACGCAGGGTGGACTGTTCAACAAGACTGAGTTTCTCTGCTCCAACTTATCATCCGTGGTGACTGATAATGGCTTTGTGGCCACAGTTCCCGATGAGAGGAGCCTGTTTATCATGAGGGTGGTCCAGATAGCCGTCATGTGCGTTTTGTCCCTGACGGTGGTGTTTGGCATATTTTTCTTGGGTTGCAACCTTCTTATAAAGTCAGAAGGAATGATCAACTTTTTGGTAACGGACAGGAGACCGTCAAAAGAAGCGGAGGCGGTTATTATCGGGGCGTACTGATCGATGAGGGCCTTTGCGTTATGCTTACTCTAATTTGATGGAGACGGAAGAGAGACGGTGCACCATGAACTGCGTAAACAAGCCCCTTTGGCATTTAGAAAAATCTCCAAGGAACTATGTTGTATGTGTTTTGCATACAATATGCAAGATATTAATCATTTCTGTGGATTTCTTGGAGGGCGGTGGAGGAAGCCCAGCATGCCGTATATGTTATTAACTGGAATAAACTCATTCTGTAATTAAAGTTTTCCTCTTAATTAAGGTCTATTTTTCTACCATGACAATAGCACTCACCGCACCCTCTGCCAAAGTAATTCAGATTTCTGACACTAAAATTACATCCTTTCCAAAAAAAAGTCTAGTTCCAATGTAGAAATGGAAATCATTCTAATAAGACAGAAAAGGGATTATATGTCATATTGATTCTGATAAAAAGGGCATATTATGAGAATTGACGTTTGAGGTCTGCAATTTCTCTGGCATACACAGGAGCAGTGAGCGTTCAGAAGAAATCACTTCACACAAAAGATTTACCTTTTCCATTAACAGTCAAAACCTGAATGTTGATTCAGTTCAGCCGAATATGTTCCTTTAAACTGAGATTTTACAAAAAGAGATAATCCAGTAATCCTAAGATTTTTATAGAGGTGAGGGTGTAAATATGTAGATGTTTTGTCTCAGGTTTTGATCTGTGCAGTGTTCCTTTTACCAGCTCCAAGGGGTGAAATCAGTAGCTTCAGAAATGACCTGTCTTGTCAGCTCTGGGTCTAAAACTACTGGGCAATATGATGCTGTCTGACTGACACACCTGTGCTGCACATACATAGTAAAATAGTTTGAATTGCTTCACTGTGGTCTACAGTAAAATGTCCTTTGTCTCAGTTTCCCGTAGCTCCTATTCTCCCCGTCTTGCTTGATAGGGCCTTGTTCTGTCTGCTGATGGATGGCTATAGCTTGTCAAGGCTGACACAAAGGCTGCTGTCTTAGGCCACTTAGGAGGAGGGGAAGAACGACAGCTACAGAAATTGCTAGAGTCGAATCAGTCTCCAACAAAAGTCGCTATTATAGACCTAACAAATATAACACATTGTTTTTTGCATTTCTACCTTAATGAATTTGACAAATTGTGGCTGTTCAGCCATGACATCATCACATACTTTACATCCCTAATATCCTTTTCAGCCCCTTTTTTCTTGTTAAATTACTTTTAAAAAATCACTGAATAACTTTGCACTCATATATCAAGATCTCACATCTACATAATCCAGCACATATATTGATGAAACTCATATCTGCAATGTACACATTTGCTTCATTTTAATCTCAGACAGGACACTGCATGATTAGAGTAACACATTAACACCACAATCAGTTTTCTGAAATGAAGACTTTTCATTCTGAAAAAAAAAAATGGATTGGATTGTAAGTGGAGTAAAAACCACACTGAATCCAAACCAAACATACAGTTACAAAATAAAACCTCATTCCTGAACATGTTATTAACCTGATGATTTGTGTTATGTTGCTGTGAGTACAGAAAAACTAACAGTGGTAAGACAAATCACAAGAGAGAATTACTTTCTAAATACCACACCAAGAGTTTCTCTCATCTTTGTGTGATTGCTTTAATTAGGGAGTGCTGGGAATTGCTCTGTGGAAAGTCTCGTGACAGTTTAATATCCAACAGAGAACAATTTTCTGTCTGCAGCTGAACTATTGTTAGCTTATCCTGTGGTGCCTTTAGTAGGAAAAAATGTCTTTTCCACATTTAGACTGGACTCTGAGCAAAGTTTAAGATTAAAGTTGAAAAATAAGAAGTGCATCGTCAAAACATTTCTGTAGGATTTTACTGTGGACTCTTTTGAGAAGTTAGTTTCTTGATTAACAGTTGGTACAGTCAACACAAAGATTTCACAGGCTTATCACACGTCAGTGGTCAGTGAGTTGCAGGAGATAGTAACAGCAAACAGCTACTATACCCATGGTGCTCAATTCAATTCAGTTTTATTTGTATAGAGCCAAGTCATAACAAAAGTCATGTCAGGACACTTTACAAAGTAAGGTCTAGACCTTAGTATTATTATTATTATCATAGAGGAAAAATTCAACAAATCCCCCTTGAGCAAGCTCTTGGCAACAGCGAGGAGGAAAAACTCCCTTTACCAGAAGAAACCCCCGACAGACCCCGGCTCTTGTTGGGTGGCCTTCTACCTCGACTGGTTGGGGTGAGTGGATAGAGGAGAGAGAAGAAAAGCAACAGGACACAACAAACATATCAAGAAACAATCGGCTCCTGCTGTAAACAAACTATGAGTCCTCTGCAAGGCTTATGAGCAACTCTTCCCCGGGTATTTAGGGCTGTTTTGCACTGCACAAGCCCAAAGCACCAAGTCTGAGTATCTGAAAAACACTGAAATCATAACTGTGGTCTGGTGTTACAGTCACATTTCTTCCCAAATGCAGAAAATGTTGGGTCAAATTAAAAACCATTTAACCTTTTTATTGTGTACCTGCTGTCTGGTTACACAGATATCACTGTTATAGCCCAGGTAAAAGCAGCACCAGCTTACTTTATCCCATGTCTAATATATGTTAGCTACATCCCACAGTCAAAGCATCTGCAGGGTGCTGATTGTAGGCTAAAAGAGGTTTCAGGTCCTGGCTTGCTCTCATGTGATTGGCTGGCAAGTAAAGATCCAGTCGATGAACTGGATAGTGACTAAAGGCTCCAAATGGCAGCAAGGCAGCCACAATCATTTTCCCTGTTTACTCCTTTTGTCCCACAGCTCCTCACCCATCCTTCCCCTGCCCTGTGCTTTATGTTACCGCTCCTATTTTGTGGAGGGAGATCAGTTATATCATTTGTCATTAAACTGTTTGTCTTGTATTAATCTTTTCTTCACTGTATTTCTTTTCATGAAAATAATATTTGATGGGTATTATATTGATTTTATACTGTGATTCCTTCAAACCCAATTCTGGCTAGAGTTAGCTCTCTAACTCCAGGAGGAACTACACTTTTCAAGAAGACTTGATAGATTTTTTTTTTAAGTGAAACCCCATTGTGAAAATGCAGACATTTCCATCAGCAGCAATGCCTATTCAGTCTGAACTAAGCTGTTGCAGACATCCTGTGGCGTCTGGATTCTACAACAACAGCAGTAATTGTGGAAGTCACACTGTGATAAATCCATGCAGAATGGTTTTGAAGGATGATTCCATTACCCAGCATCTCTGATTCCAGTTATAGAATGAGTCATGGCTCTGTTGTGCTGCTGATTGTCTCATACTCAGGCATTACAGGGATTTAACATCTGAACAGTCCTGTCACTTCACACTTTACTGTAATCTGTGTGTGTGATGGCGTCACTCATGTTGTTGGGACAGAAATCTAGTCCCCACAGTGTAAAAAGTTAAGAGTTGGTTTTTGGTTCAGATTAGAGTTAGCTTAATGCTGCACTCATCATTATTTTTATATTATCAGTGCGTCAAAGGACTAAATCTGCAGTGACTACTTGGAAAGGGTGTGGCATGGAGTGAGAAATCCACAGAGAATTATCAACTTTGCAGTCTTCCTTAACCCATAAATGTACCATTTTGCTTTAGTTTTATTTGCTCGTATCAGTATCGGTGTTCACCATGGTAGCAGGTTTCTGACAAAACCTATGAACTAGCTCAATTTTTGCCGCAATGCAACTCCACATCAGCAAGACTCTGCAGTGACCATTCATAGGTTCCTGGTAGATTTCTTTGTAACATAAATGCCATATTACTAGAGTTTGCTTCACAATCATTGTAATGAAAGATAGAACAGCTGCCAAGGTGATGACTGTCCAGAGTTGTAAAATCCTTTCTGTGAATAGATCTGCAATGTTTTGGAATGTGGTAAGCTTTTAAACACATTTCTGTGTCCAAATCCCAAACCCTCGTGGACTGTAATTAATTGTCTCTCTGGTGCCTTAAACAACGCATGTGATCAATGCAACCTCCTTGCGCTGTTATAACCCAAGGCTGTTTATCGTCTGAATCTCTGTTTTGTGACTAGCAAGTGAACACACTGGAGTATCTATCCTAAAGATTTACAAGCTAGTTGTACCAGCTGTCCATAGGTTCAAATTTACGATGTAGTTATAACAGGAGCGTTTGTGTGATTGCACCACACAAACGCTCCTGTTCTTATATAAAAAGTATATTTACAATGTCACATCTAACAGGTGTGTACCAAAGTGAACCAAATGATAAAACTAAACATTAGCTTGCTAATACAATTTATGGCTCATTCACAGTGACAGGTAAAGAAATCATGTGGAAAAAATTGAAAAATTAAATTACATGTCACTAACATCTTCCATTGCATCTATTAAATTTTAAATTTCATCACAAAATTCTAACAGATTTACAACCCAATTTGCATATTTATCTAGGGGCTAGTAGAGACCAAAACAGAGTTCAAAGGAGAAAGTGAGTTTTGGACTTGATTAATGATTGATTGTTACTGGACTCAGATTTTTTGGACTTCTACCCCCAAGTGGCCAAAAATAACAAGTTAAATACAAGTTCAAGTGTAGGTATTATGATAAGGGCTTGTGTCTAGGATAGAATAACAGTAGCATAAGACCAGTTCTGCTGTTGAAAGTCATCAGTTTATTTTATTACCACATCAGTTCAAGAAACAAATATACTCTTAGAATTAGAGGGTGCAATGATGTTTCTAAACCAGATCACTTCCTTTTTAAAAACATAGTTGACACAAAGCAGGAGCATTAAAGGTGACCATCAGGAACTCATTATTCACTGCAGTCATGCAAATGTGTAATTGCTTTAAAAATATTAACTGTGATGGTGTGATATTGTTCCCGAAATCCATTTCAGTTCTGGTGTGAGTGTGTTTCAAGCTTTTTATTGACCTTCTAATCATGCAGCTCTCTGGCAGCTACATCAGCCTTGCCTCTGAAAGTGAACTGTGACTTTGCTCTCAGAGGAAGGTTTCTCCAAATGCCATTACTGCAACCGTAATAACCTTTTCAAGAAAGCACTCAAGGCACAGATGGAGTTTTAAGTGCTTTTTCCTACAATAAGAACTTTCAAACTCACTGCTGACGAATGTGAGGGTTTGTCAGTTTACAAACTTTCAGGATCATTTTTATCTCAGTAAAATCATAATCATCCAAAAATATTCCTCAGCCAAAATGTCTAAAGTGCTAACCTACTGTA